CTTACTGCTGACACTCTCAGACTTGCTTTGCTGTTCCCATCTCTTAGTGGGGATCTTTAATTGCTGAACTGCCCCCAACTTGTAACAATCCTTGGTTAATCCCTGCATCTCCTAAACTGACTTCAAAAACAGCAACCAATCCAGAACTAATTTCTGCTTCTCTTAGGTCCTCCTGAGTCCTTCAGTGAGACCCCCAAGCCCTACAAAAAATCCTCCTCCCTTTTTCTCAGTGTCATTCTACAGCTTCTCCGAGTGCCATCCCTTGCTGCACCAAGTCGATAAATGTGATGTTGTTGGACTACAAGCTTGTTCCTGGTAGTTTTCATCTGATATCGCTTTCACACGTACATCAGAGTTGTCTATTAGATTGTAAATTTCTAGGAGGCCTGCTAATTCTGTGTAGTACCTAGCACCAATAGACTGGGAATAGTTTTAATTCTCTATTGTTTTGATATTCCTTATCGGCCAATTAAGGTAGACGTCCAGCCCTGAGCATGCCTGGGTATTCTGCATTTCATGTACAGGTGTGATATCTCAACTTAAAAGTCTTTAGAGTCACTGCTTATTTAGACTTTGTTTCAGTGATAAAAACTTGTAGTTGTAAAATTGTAGGTATAGTCATAGTTAAATCTTTGTGTGTTACATTTATCATTCCTCTAGTATAATTTGGAGATAACAAAGGTCCCTGACTTATGATGGTTCAACTTACGATTTTTCAACTTTTCAAAGGTGTGAAAGTGATATGCATTCAGTAGAAATGGTACTTCAGTACAGTATTCAATAAATGACATGAGATATTCAACACTTGATTATAAAATAGGTTTTGTTTTAGATGATCTTGCCCAACTGTAGGCTAATGAAAGTGTTCTGAGCATATTTAAGGGAGGCTAGGCTAAGCTATGCTGTTTGGTAGTTTAGCTGTGTTAAATATTTTCAACTTCCAGTATTTTCTACTTATGATGGGTTTATCGGGATGTAACCCCATTGTAAGTCAAGGAGCATCTGTATATGAAATGAATGCTTTTCACTTAACAAATATTTATTTTGTGCCTGTTATGTGCTAGGCATTGTGATTAACACTTGGCAACTATAGTGGGCTGAATTATGTCCTCCCAAAACTCACCGAAGCTTGAACTTTGTCCCCCAAGTTTTACCTGTT